GCCCCGCCTCGCTCCCCGCCCGTCCCGCTGGATGGCGTGGTGGAGTGTGGTACCCGAGGGTACGTTGAACCCTGGCGCTGGCGTGCGTGGCGCCCTATCGGCCGTTTTGGCTCGCTGTGGTGGTCGTCTGGAGGCCGGCGTCGCCACGATGTCGCCGCGCGCCCGGGGTTGGCGGCGGCGTCGCGACAGCTTTGCCATGAGGAGCCATGGGGGAGGCCAAAGAAATACAAGTGGCGTCGCGACGGCGGCGGCGTCTGGTCTGGGGGGGTCTGCACGGACTTGGGGAAGGTCAGGGCAGGGGAGGGCGGGGCGGCGGGGGCGCGTTTGAGTAAATAGAGGGGGTCGTGTGGGCGAGGACATGGCGGTCCATGGAGGAGGGTAACGGCCGCCGAGGAGCTCGTCGACTTGTTGGGGTGGCTGGCCGGCGTTGTCGCCGATGGGGTGCCCAAAGCTGGCACCCCTAGAGAGAGGGCCAGTTTTTTGTAGCTCTTGGGCCGCCCCGCTCTCTGCCCCGCCGCGCTGCGCTGGTGTCGGCTCCGGATACTCAACATTCAACCCCCCCATTGTCCCTGCGACTCGCCCCTGCTCTGCTCTTCCCCGGCCCGTGAATTATTTGGTCCCGAGTATTATCTGAACCTCCACCCTCCCTCCCCCGGGGCCAAGGGCACTCCAAGACCACCGCCACCGGCGCGGCGGGGTTGATTCCCGCTCGCTTAGCCGCCACCTCCCCCTCAGCCGCCCCCCGGCCTTCCCCCATGACGAGTGTCTTGCGCCACCAACTTTGATTACATCTTTTAATCCCCGCTGGAGTGTAGAGCGGGGACAAGGTTAAGGTTGGAGTTTCTTTTTTTGCGTTTGGGGATGGGAGAGGAGGGGTCAAGGTCTTCGCTGATGCTGCTACAATCTCACCTTTTGAGGTGCTCTCAAGGAGCGGCTATGAGGTGGGTGTGGCAGTCGGTGGGGAAGTGGGGAAGTCCAACCCTGCTCCTGAATTCCCTTTATTTCATCGTCCATATTCCCTTTGCAGTTTATTCTTCTCTGCCCTCTCACCCCCCCCCCCCTTCTCGCTCACGCCTCGCCCTCTTGTATTATTTCCTGTATTTCCTTAGAAAACAAGATTTTGAGGGCAGCGGGCAGCTTCTTTTCAAAAGCGTTTCCCGCGGACGAAAATTTCGTTTCCTCGAAAGAGATAAGCTGTGGCGCCTGGAGGCGGCGGGAGCGCGTTTGTTCTTATTTGGGGCTTGTTGCGGTGCGGCCAGCGGCCAGGCCAGGCCAGTGGCAGTCTGAGAGGGAAATGTATTTCCATTTCTCAACCCCATGGCGGGCCGGGACGGGCCCGGCGTACCGCGACTCTGAAGCAAGAGTTACAGCTCGGGTCGCAGGCGTCGTCGGTCCAGCAAGACCCTTTTTGCTCTTTGGTTTGGTTTGGCCTTTCCTTTCCCTTTGCCCCCGAACATTGCAGAGGGTGAGATAGAGTTGCTTACGAAGTTTGAGAGAGAAGGGCGAACTTAAGGGAGGAGAGGGAGAGTGGGAGGGTGACTCGACTCGGGACACCGTCGGGACACCTCGCGCGGGACTTTGTTTTTTGTTGGTTCTTCTCTCTAACGATCCGGTCCGTGTTGCAGGTGAAGGCCTCGGACACGCTGACGTCCGTGGCCGCCCGCTTCGACACGACGCCGTCCGAGCTCGCCAAGATGAACAGGCTCGCGACCAGGCTCGTGTTCCCGGGGCAGGTGCTGTACGTCCCGGACAAGAGGCCCGGCGGACAGCAGAACACCACCCCGGACACGTCGCTGGAGGGCCAGGACTCCGAGAGCCAGGATGACGGCGACTCCACCTCGCCCAAGTCCTCGTCCACCGACGGGGACGGCCAGGCGGATGACAAAGGTTGGTAGGGCCATGACACGGTGTTTGAAGGGCCCGCCGCAAGTGCTGCCAACTGGAATCGTGGAAAATACGGAAAATTCGCAAACGTCGAGATGAAAAGATGAAAAGTTGCTCGATGGGATAGGAGTAGCAGAAACTTCATACCTTCAAGTTTTCGTGGAGGAATAATTTTTGCAAGGCTTTCTCATTCACAAAAACGTGAACTGTAAACTTTTGTCGTGTAAATTTTTTTTGCTAACCTCGAATATACCGATATTGCAAGTACCACGCATAAATGATGGGTTAAATCAGCTGTCATTGTTAGGTTAAGTGCACCGTTGTTTACTTTTGGTGTGCAAAAAAATATTATTAAGTGGTTGACCTATGAGGTTTTTGCCACAATTTCATCAGTTTAATGATTTCGCTTACGTTATTATAATATGTTTTCGCGGTTTCGTCGCGATTCGCGAGCTTGTAATGGAAAGTCTCAGAAGCGCTCCCAGGACTTTTCCTGTACCGTGACATACACTGCAAGGCCCAGCAAGGGTAATGTTTATGTTTAAACTCACAACCAGAAATTCTCAATCATTTTTCTGCTATACATTATTGATAACATGGTTTAGCAGCTTGTGTGTTTAAAAAGAGCAAAGAATAGTGCAGAAGTTAATACAAATCTTTCATTTTCTTATTTGATTTTTTTCAGATGGTCATGTAAGAACTGGAGGTCCTGGTCGTGCAGAAAGAATAGGAGAACACAGTATTCATGCTCCAACACGTTCCCGTGATCTGGAACGTTTTTTGAAGATAACTGTTCGCCACATAACTGATGGACAGGTATGCAGTCAACAACAATACCCTTAAGTATATAAAATTAGAATTATTGCAGCACTGTTTACATCAACATTTTCATTTTTCAGGGTGTTGTTAGTGGAGTTCTTCTTGTTACCCCTAATGCAGTTATGTTTGATCCTAATGTATCTGATCAGTTAGTTATTGAACATGGACCTATGGAGTTATTGCACCGATGTAATTTGTTGTTAATGCTGCTATTTACTATGATATAGCTCACATGAGAGTGGGTAACTCTGATGCACCAAAGTAAGTTACAACATGCTCACTTATTGTTTGTTAGTTAATTTTATTTACGTATTTTTCTAAAAGGGAATTACTATTTTAATGCATTTTATCTTCACAGAGGTGATTCTGCCAAACCAGAAATTTACCACCCTAAAGATAAGAAGGAAAAAACCGCAGAAAACCAAGGTGCTGAGGACAGCTCAATTTCACCTGGAAAAGAGTCATTACTAGTCAAGGATGAGACATTCCCAGAGCTGGCTCCTGGAAGGTCATCCACAGAGGTATGTTTGATTATTCAATTTGTAATATCTATAAAATTAGATCAAGTATAAAAATACTGTTGCAGCAGTATTCATTTGTTGTTTCCCTATTTTACTGGGTGTGTAACCTCATACATCTTTCCATTATTTGTTTTCAGGAGGATGATGCAGTTGAGAATGAGAATGGTGATAATGAAAGTGAGTGTTCCCTTCCTGCTGGCCGGGAAGGAAGTGCTTTCCCCAAGGCATTTGAACGTGACCTAGTGACGCCAACAAATCTTACTGTATCACAAAATACAAGTCGTCAAACTTCAGTGGAGGAAAATTTATTGCAAGAAGAGAAAAAAGATGGTTTAGAGTAAGTTTATTTTCTACAATTGCTGCACACATAGCCACTTTGTCTCCTACTTGGACTGCATTGAATACAAATGTGTTATATTTTGCAGAAGTTCTGGAGATGAAGCGTTCACAATGATCCGGAAGATGGAAGAGCGGAGAATGTCGTCTTTAGATCACCATTGGGCTGTGCCAAAGCAGAAAGGAAGTCAGGACAGCAAGGACGGAGATGGGGAGGTAGTCACCAAAAATAAAGATGATTTGTGCCATCTATCAGCTGCCATCGCAGAAGGGTTGGATGAACAGGAGGGGAATGGAAACCTCGTCAAATCCTCTTGTCATGATTCTGGCATTGATATCCGAGATGCAGATCAGCCCCCATTGCCTCCCATCATCCCCTGTACTAAAAAGGTAGTAATTCAAAGTCTATTAAATGCTATGGGATGGAGAATGTGCTCCTACTAACTTTTGTGGTGAATTGACTTGTTTTTCACTAACCAAGTAAGTCAACTGTCATTCAATCATTAACGACCCATGGGCTAAGAGAGTTGCCCCTGTTCATTAACCCTTTGCAAGTGCTTTTTTCATTCATTTGTTGAATTCAGGTCCACTTTTCATTGAATTATGCACTATAGTTTTTGGTTTTTTACTTATCGTAGTCAACATTTTAGATATCAGTTTGCAACCATTTTGTAGAAAATAACATCCATTCATGATTCATGTCCATTTCTGCATGCATCATATAGTAACTGATGTTACTGCTTTGAATCTGTCCATTCAATTGTGTATTCTGGTTAACTGGTTCTCATTTATTTTCTGCTTTTATGCATGTTGCAAATAAGTTTGTTCTACTTTGGGAATTTAAAAAACATTTAGTTACTGTTTGATCAATGCAATTTTTGTTCTTTGGTTTGTGTCTTTGTGTGCATTATTATCTTATGGGAAGAGTTCTTAATTTCTTTCTTTGTTTACTTTTCAGGTGTTCTCTGATGCTGACATTGTCATGGCATCAAAGAATGAGTTTGTGCCACCAATTACGGTTGCTCCTACAAACTACTTAACTGAACTGGAACAACAATCAGGAGACGATTCTGCAACATCAGGGAGCATGTTAGCTGCTGCACCTACATCTAGAAAGAAGACATCTTCAGTTTCATTCTCTGTAGATGATGAAGGAAAGGAAGGAAAAGACAGCAAAGAAGAAGATGCTGATAAACAAGAAAGCCGTAAAAACAAAGTAGGGGCACAAAATTGTTTTTGTTTAGTTATTTTTTTTATTTTATTTTTTCAGTAATATAGTCTAATCCTTTATTTTGACTGTGCTACAACAGATGTTGAAGAGGTTATCATATCCATTAGCATGGATGGAAGGATTCACTGGTGACAAGGATGAAAAAGATACACTTCCTGGCCTTCCCTCCTCGGCAGATTCCCAGTCGTCTGGTCATTCTGGTTCTGGTTCTGGTTCTGGCCAACATTCATCTGTATTCTCAAAAGTATTTTCAAGGTAAATTTTCCAGATTTTAATTTTTAAACATTTAAACGAGTATTTATGTTTATAAATACAGGCATTGTATAACTCTTCATTGAGATGGTGTGTTGTTTGCATCTCTGGGTGCAGATTAATTTTTAACAAAACCCTGGGTGATTTTGTTTCTGGCCTGCTATTAATCATGTCTTGATTACTAACCTTGCTAACTTTTGAGGTTTTCTGGTGTGAATGTCCTGTACATACATTTTGAGTATGGGTTACATAATTGGTATCTGTCTCAAATCTGGGGTCAAGAAGTTGTTTTGTTTTCTTCTCATTTATTTCTAGGTCTTTTTGATTCTGTTGTCTATCCGTCTATCTTGCTTCTTTTTTATTTTGTCTTTTCTCTCTCTCTCTCTCT